TGCAGTAAGCTGTGATTATGCCACTGCTGCACTCCAGCCTGGGTGAAAAAAAAAAGAAATTTCATGCACTGTGACAGAGGCGGCATTGACTGGAGATGCTGCTTAGCACACTCCTCCAGCTAGTGCTGAGGAAGCTCCATCAGGGCAGAGCCTAGCAGGGAGATGGAGACTCCACTCTGAAAAATATCCTCCAAGAGCTTGGCAGTTGCAAATCCAGGTGCTTGGGTAGAGCATCAGTTTTAGAGTTACAAGGACCTGGGTCCATGTCACAGCGTTGCCATCTGTTAGGCATGTAGCTTTGAGCAACCTACTCAACCACACTGGCCTCAGTTTCCCCTTCAGTAAATGGGGACATTGTTAGTATCTGTGCTATTATGGGGTTCTTGTGAAGGCTAAATGAGATGAGAGCATTTATAGCCATGGAGCCAGCACTGTTACCTTTTGTAAATATTAGCATTATCATTGGCAGAGATTGAGAAGCGGGAGGGTTATGACTTCTTTTCAGAGAGGCTAAGTTAGGGGTGATTGTGGGTCACCCACTGGTGTATTTTCTGTCAGGCAGTTGGCAATGAAGATTTGGAGCTCAGCAAAGAGATCAGAGCTGGCCATAAAGATTTGGGTGTCACCCGCAGATAGATGATAATGACCTAGGAGTAGATAAATCATCCAGGAAGAGGGTGAAGAAACAGAGAGCCATGAAGGTCCTTGAGGAGCCCTTGGGGAGGAAGGCATAGGGAAAAGCCAGAGAAGCTTCTGGAAGAAACTTACTGTGAAGACATCCTGCCGGGCTGCTCTGGAGGGCTGAGGCCTGGGAGAGGGCAGGCCACTGAGTCTCAGCCTCACCTACAATCCTGCCTCAGGTCTGTGACAACCTTGGGCGGCGACACACATCCACCTGTGCCCTCTGTGACTTCTGCTCCTTGAAGCTGGAGCAGTGCCACTCCGAGGCCAACCTGCAGCGGCAGCCGTGCGACCACTCCCACAGGACGCCTTTTGTCAGCCCCTTGCTCACCTCCCAGAGCCTGTCCATCGGCACCCAGGTAGCGCTGCACAGCCTGCGGTGGGGAGGCGGACGGGGAGGCAGGAGGGGCGGGTGTGCACTCCCCCGTCTCCTGTGCCACAGGTAGGGCGCATAGAGATGGGCCGCTATTACGGGCTGGATTTGTACGGCGGGCTCCGCATGGACTTCTGGTGTGCCCGGCTTGCCACAAAGGGCTGTGAAGACGATCGCGTCTCTGGCTGGCTCCAGACTGAGTTCCTCAGCTTCCAGGACGGGGACTTCCCCACCAAGGTCAGAGCCTTTCCCCAGGCTCAGGCCCCCCCCCCCACCGCGACCTCCGTTCCTTCCAGTTCCTGGCTTAGGTAGCCCTGGGAGGTGGAAGGGGGCTGGGGCCCCTGGCTTCTGAGAGCCTGTCCTTGCCGAATCTCCTACCTGTCTCCAGCAGACCATCACACCCACACCCACACACAGAGTGCGATCCTATCTGGAATAGGAACACAGAATGGGGAGAAAGCACGGGACTGGGAGGCAGGGTGTGGGAGGCAAGAGATAGAGGTTCTGGTCCCGGCTCTGCCAGTTACTTGTGTTGACTAAAGAAAAAAAAATGAAGCTTTTAAAAAAAACTAAAGTTAATTTTCTTCAGTTTTACTGAGGGCTACATCCTGAGAGAAGACCTTTAGACAGGGTCTATCAGACTGCTCCGGCACAGCGTTCCAGTCCACCACTTACATATAGGTGGTGGAGCTTCAGTATGTGTGCAATCACATCCAAGCTTTGGCACAAGAGCACATCTGGTTATAGATTACAGAGACATAATCACTAACCCCATCACATGTTACCGTATGCATAGGAAGAGGTGGGGACTAGTGTCATTCATCTTTTAAGGAACGTAGTGACTCAGGCAAGAGACATGGGGAGCTGTGTGCTCCATCCTGTGTTGTCTTCCAAGCGTCTCTCTGGAGAACTGCCCAGCGTCACAGAGTGGAGATGACCAAGCGTGGCTTCACACATTTGCTACTCTGTCTCACGCTTGTTGAGTGGCTTTGGTCAAGTGGCTCCCCCTCTGGTCCAAAGTTAGATTTGTCTACATTTGTCTAACCATCTCTACATTAAAAGACAAGGCGGTGTGCAAAGTGCTCCCCATCCCTGTGATCCGTTACTCGCCTGCCTCAGTCTGAAGGGCTCCTTCCCCACCTCTACCAGTAATTTCCCTGCTCAATGAAATCAACTGGGTGGCCCCTCTCCCCAAAGTCACCTCCCCTGTAGGATGACCTGTAGTCGCTGAGAGTCAGGCCTCTCCCTTCAGTGGTTTAGCAGGGACACCAGGGCAAAAAAAAGTAGGGGCTGCTTAAGACAGGACTGGGAGGCCGGGAGCAGTGGCTCACACCTATAATCCCAGCACTATGGGAGGATCACTTGAGGCCAGGAGTTCAAGAGCAGCCTGAGTAACATAGTGAGACTCTGTCTCTACAAAAAATAGAAAAATTAACCAGGTGTGGTGATGCGTACCTGTGGTCCCAGCTACTTGGGAGGCTGAGGCAGGAGGATCACAGGAGCCCAGGAGTTTGAGGTTACAGTGAGCTATGATGAGGTCCTGAACCCCAGCCTGGGCAACAGAGTGAGACAAAAAGAAAGAAAGGGCTGGGAGCTGAGCTGAGCAGCTTGTGTCCAGCTCTTGTCCCTAGACGTCTAGACTCAGCAGCCCCCTGGATTTATAGATGGGGAAGCAAAGTCCAAAGAGGGAAATGATTCATCACTGTCTCACATTAGTGATTCTTCCACCCTCTCCCTTACTTGCTGTCGCCAGAAGGATCCTTGCTGTTGGACCACTAACTGGGTCCTAACTGGGTCCCCGTCCCATGTTCTGGACCCTTAACCATCCCCTGTCTGCTCCCCATTCCACGGTCACTTTTTCGGCAAGCTGAGCAGTAGGGCAGCCTCTTCTCATCTCCCAGGCTCCTGGCTTCTTCCCAGCAACCTGTGCCTGGAGGTGGGAGGGGAAGGGCAGAGGTGAGGGAGTACACAGGTGTGGCAGGCCTGGTGATCGGGGCCACACCCCGGGCCCTGATTCTGCCCTTGCAGATATTCTCTGGAGGGCTGGTGTCTTGTGATGCTTCTGATACCCTCTCCTCTCCCTCCCTGGCTCCTGGCTTAGATTTGTGACACAGACTATATCCAGTACCCGAACTACTGTTCCTTCAAAAGCCAGCAGTGTCTGATGAGGAACCGAAATCGGAAGGTGAGCCCCCAACCATGTCCCCTCCTTCCCCCTCAGCCTCTCTGTCAGTCAGGGGGTTGGTGTATTCTGAGCCCCCTGGGGTGGCAGCTAGGATGAGGAGAGCTCGTCTTACCTGCGTCTCTGGGGCACAGGCCTCCACAGGCATCCTCTCCTCCACTCCTCCAGGCCCAGCAGGGCCCTTCCAGGTGGGCAGGGGGCTGGGGATACCGCACAGATAAGAGGGGAAGGCCCTGGGAGCGCCACAGGAAGAGCCCTTGGCTGGGCTGGGATTGGACACTGAGGTCTCAGTCTTGCTTCCTGTTCTTACTCACCAAGTAGCCTGGGATAAGGCTCTTCCTGCTCCGAGCCTTAGCCTCCCCATTTCTGAAAGAAGCGGGCTGGGCTGCTTGGTGACATCTGAGCTTCCTCCTTCCCTCTGGGCCCCTGGCATGGGCCCCTGCCTGCTCACCTTGGGCTCTTTTGGAGCTTCTGACACCTGCCCCCTCCCCACTCCTGGTGCCTGGCTCTGTGACGCAAACTATGCACTGGATCCCCGTGTAGGTGTCCCGCATGAGATGTCTGCAGAATGAGACTTACAGTGTGTTGAGCTCTGGCAAAAGTGAGGACATCGTGCTTCGATGGAGCCAGGAGTTCAGCACCTTGACTCTAGGCCAATTCGGATGAGCTGGGGTCCATTCTGTCCCCACCCTAGCCCTGCCTTTCCACATTCTCCACTGCTTTCAGATCCTAGCTGTCGGTTTGTTTCCACGCTGCACCCAAGGTCTCTGACCTGGCCCCTACTCACATTGTCCTTGGGTTGGGACAACAGTCTCACAGAGGGCCATCCTGGGAGCGGCACCCTTCTTAAAGGATGTCTTTATATAAAGTATTTCTTTTAAGCCTGTGTGGCCTATTTTAGTTATGGTTCCCATCCTCAGCTCTGCCACCTTTCCCATGGGATCAATCCCCAGCCCCTGGTTGTGCCGATCCATATGCAGGTGAGAGAACCTCATGGGAATGGTGCTCTGGGAAGTGACAGTCTGGCAGGAGAAGCAGGAGACCTACAAACTCAGGGAGGTCGGGCGGGACATGGTGGCTCATGCCTGTAATCCCAGCACTGTGGGCTGAGACGTGAGGATGGCTTGTGGACAGGAATTTGAGACCAGCTTGGGCAACGTAGTGAGACCCTGTCCCTACTAAAAAAAAAAAAAAAAAAAGCTAAACATTATCTGGGCATGGTGGTGTGCATCTGTAGTCCCAGCTACTCAGGAGTCTGAGGCAGGAGGATCGCTTGAGCCCAGGAGTTTGAGGCTGCTGTGAGCTATGCTCATGCCACTGCACTCCAGCCTGGGCAACAGTAAGACCATATCTCAAAAAAAAAAAACCCAAAACTGTCCGGGTACAGTGGCTCACATCTGTAATCCCAGCACTCTGGGAGGCCGAGGCAGGAGGATTACTTGAGCTCAGGAGTTTGAAACCAGCCTGAGCAAGAGCGAGACCCCGTCTCTACTATAAATAGAAATTAGTCAAACAACTAAAAATAGAAAAAATTAGCTGGGCACAGTGGCGCATGCCTGTAGTCCCAGGTACTCGGGAGGCTGAGGCAGAAGGATCGCTTGAGCCCAGGAGTTTGAGGTTGCTGTGAGCTAGGCTGACGCCACGGCACTCTAGCTGGGGCAACAGAGTGAGACTGTCTCAAAAAAACAAACAAACAAACAAACAAAAAACCCCCAAGCTGAGGGAAGTGGATTGAAGAAGGCCATGGGTGGGGTCGGGGATAATGTGGACCATGAGGACATATGTCTTTGTTTCTGAAGTCCTGGGACCCATGATGTCATATGGGGCTGGCTGTAGGGTGGCCTCTCCATAGAATAGAGGCCAGAGCCTGACTGAGGTCTTGCCAGGGGAACCAACCCTGTGGAATGGAGCATAGCTTGCACTTCATCAGGAGGAAGGAAACTAGAAACTACAGTCTGGAGCTCAGGAAAAGCCTTGATTTGACTATCGGAATTTGCCAGATGATCTGAATGTTGAACTGGTTGCATCTTGATAACATACACTGAGGTGTGAGTCCAGCATTGGCCTTTGATAATTTGAAATCTTCCAAAGTGTATTTTGGGGGCACAGTAGAGTACCCCCCCCTCCTGCTATAGAGTCATGGTAATTAACAGCAATTTAAAAAAATGGTTTATTATGGAACAGTTCAAACATGTTGCACAAAATAGAATAGCATAACACATCTCCACGCACCCTTCATCCAACTGGTTTATCAACACGTGGCCTATCGTTCTACCGCATGTTAAAGGCTCTACAAAGTTCTATAACAGAGAAACTTATTTAACCTAGTATTTTCCAAACTCATTTCACCATAATGCCTTTTTCACCTACCACCCCAAAACCTGAACTTGTTTTTGTTCATGGACAACATGCCCAGCCCTGTGCTCAGCCTGCGCATACAGAGACAAGGGGCCCAGGGGAAACAGACCTTGGCAAAGGGGAACCACGCGGCCTGGCCAGTGCTGTGATGGAGGGGCTGTGCGCTGGGCAGGGTGGGAGGGCCTGGCACAACGCCAGCACACAAAGGGACCCTGGGCAGGGCGAGGTGCCAGCCATGAGTGGCATGGGCTAAACCACCTTGCACACCCAGGAGAGGAAGACAGACACCCAGGGGCACCTGGTGAGGATGACGGGAGGCTAGTGGGTTAGTCATCTGGCATCGGCAGGTGGGTGTGCCAGTGACAGTTCCCGGAAACTGTGGGAGTATGCGAGCTCCGGGTGGGGGGAGTTATTAGTCGGCAAGTGTCGGGACTGGATTAAGTCCTCAGCTGCTGGAGTTTCTTCTTTGGCCAGTCTGCAAAGGCCTCTGAGAGCGATGCTTCCTCTTCTCCCTCTCCCTGGCCCGTGTGGGGTTGGGTGAGTCCAAGGAGCAGGGAGGGATGTGCTGAGATCTGCGGAGGTGGGCGTGTCCCCACCTGACCAGGAGCGGTTCCTACCAGCCCAGCCAAGCCCGGACAGAGCAGGCTGCGGAAGCCGGCTTGGGGAAGTGGCACAGCGGCGGGGAGCACAGGTATGGGGGTGTCCAAGTAGGGCTGACTGCACAGGGGTGCAGGGGGCAGCACCCCTCTTGTGGAAACGGGGGGCCTGGGTGGGATGGGGAGGAGGGTGGGTGGAGCCCTGGATAACCTTTCTGAATTGAGTAAAAAGCCAAAAGGAGCTGCCTCAGGCGGACAGACCTGTGCAGACTGAGCTGAAAGAGGCAGCCAGCATGCCTGGCACGCCCCTGCGTGCCCCTCTGAAGCTTCAAGGCCCACTCTGGGGCATCTCGCAGAGGTTGTGTCTCCTCCTCCCCCTTGAGGCCCCCACCATCATGCTGAGCCCTGGGCCTCCCCAGGAGGACCCTCCCGGGACTGTTTCCACCTTTTCCAACTCCTGATTAAACTTCAACCCCCACCCACCCATCCCCCAGACCGAGCCCTCTGCAGATGACAATGAGCTAATCTGATTACACTGGCAAATGGTTCCCTGGCACAGATGTGTTCCCATTGTCATCCTTCCCAGCTAGCTAAGGTGTATGTAATGGGGTCTTCAAGGGCACTGCCTTAACCCAAAGAATGCATCTCTGTAAGGGAATTGGACGAATGGTCTCTGATGTCCCTAGAGCTCTGATAGAATGTGGCTCAGAAGTGGCATGAGGGGATGGAATCTCAGATATTGGGCTCAGGTGCAGGAAGTATTTGGGGGCCAGCCGGGCTTTATGACACTTTTGTATCACACCATGAGGGTGGCTGCCTACCTATTACCTGTGATTGTGGGGCCTCCGTAATGAGAAGGGGACCCCACCAAATTGTGTCTCCAGAACTCCTCCTCATAGGGCGAGCTGAGGTTGTAGCCCTGAGAGCAGATGGAGACAGGGCTTGAGGGGAGATGAACTTGTGCGCGGAAGCCTTGCCTCCTGGCCACCCAGAGGCAGGAGAGCCCAGTGCCATGGCTCTCCCTACCCTGCCAGCCCAGTGCGTACCTCACCCACACAGGGACCTTCCATGCCCAGGGGCATTAAAACAAGCCCAGGAGGAGCAGACAGCAGAAAGAGGGAGGGCTGACTCCAGTGCACACTGGTGAGGTCAAGGAGGCCAACAGACTCCAGACATTATTTATATTTTTTAGAGATAGGGGCCCACTCTGTCACTAAGGCTGGAGTGCAGTGGTGCGATCATAGCTCATTGTAGCTTTAAACTCCTGGGCTCAAGCAATCCAACTCAGCTTCCTGAGTAGTTGGGACTACAGGTGTGTGCTACCACACTTGCCATTTTTAAAAATTGTTTTTTTAGAGATGGAGTCTTGCTATGTTGCCCCGTCTGGTCTCAAACTCCTGGCCTCAAGCCATCCTCCTGCCTCAGCCTCCTAAAGTGCTGGGATTACAGCGTGAGCCACAGCAGGCGCCTGGCTATCCAGGAGATTTCCCTGAGGAGACAGGACCTGCCAGGGCTAAAGGCAAGGGTCAGGCGTGGCAGACCACCTCAAGGCACTGGTCAGTGGGGAGGGCTAGGCCTGTCTTGGTTGGGCCTTTATTTTCTGTTTTTATATCTATCTTTCTTTCTTTTCTTTCTTTCTTTCGATAGAGTCTTACTCCCTTGCCTGGGCTAGAGTGCTGTGGCGTCAGCCTGGCTCACAGCAACCTCCAACTCCTGGGCTCAAGTGATCCTCCTGCCTCAGCCTTCTGGGTAGCTGGGACTATAGGCACTTGCCACCATGCCTGGCTAATTTTTCTTTTTCTTTTTTTTTTTTTTTGAGACAGAGTCTCGCTTTTGTTGCCCAGGCTAGAGTAAGTGCCGTGGCATCAGCCTAGCTCACAGCAACCTCAATCTCCTGGGATCAGGCAATCCTCCTGTCTCAGCCTCCCGAGTAGCTGGGACTTACAGGCATGCGCCACCATGCCCGGCTAATTTTTTCTATATATATATTAGTTGGCCAATTAATTTATTTCTATTTATAGTAGAGACGGGGTCTCGCTCAGGCTCAGGCTGGTTTCGAACTCCTGACCTCGAGCAATCCGCCCGCCTCGGCCTCCCAGAGTGCTAGGATTACAGGCGTGAGCCACTGCACCCGGCTAATTTTTCTATTTTTAGTAGAGATGGGATCTTGCTCTTGCTCAGGCTGGTCTCTCTTGAACTCCTGAGCTCAAGCAATCCTCCTGCCTCGGCCTCCCAGAGTGCTAGGATAACAGGCGTGAGTGGCCGCGCCCCGCTATTTTTCTAGCTTTTGAAAGCAGGGTGGAGGGAGATGTGCAAGTGTCAAGGTGTCATCCTCACATCCGGGAAACTAGTTGTTAAGCTGTAGGCCACCTTTGTGTTTTGGCTTTTCCTGGAAAGATGAGGAGGAATGAGGTCGGAGTACCCAGGGAGGGGTAGACACAGCTGAGGACGATGTTGGAAATGCAGGAAGAGACAGTCTTAGGTGGGGAAGGGTGGGGGAGAGGCTGGAACAGGAATTTTGGCTGGAGAAGCAGGCAGGCCTGGACCAGGGGGAGGGAAGACAAGACCGGACACGGTGTCTCTTACTGGGGACTCCTCTTGGGGAAGAGCATGGTGCCTGGGGCAGAAGGAGGCCCTACCACCTTGGGGACACCATACTGTGTCCACACCACAGACCTTCCATCTCATCCCTGCCCCTCAGATCCAGGATAAGCTGAGGAGCAGGGTTCATTTGTGTCCCAGAGCAGAGCAGCTCTGGGGCAGAGCTTTGCACGAAGCCTTTAGCCTGAGTTAAGCTTCTGCCTAGGCTCAGCACAGCTGGGATCCTTGCAGGGTGCCTGAATATTCGGGATTTGAGGAGTCTCCCAGACCAAGCCTGTGGGGGGGGAGGGGTGCATCCCCTCAATGTTGCCTGAACCCAGAAGCAGAGGAAGTGGGCTCAGCTCACTGAACTGTGGGCTAGAGCACCCACTAAAGGGGTCTTTGCTCTGTCGGGGCTGAGACACTGATGGGCCACCAGAATTTTAAATGAGGGTGGGGCTATTCCAGAGCAGATCTTCAGGGGCAAGGAGGGTGGGACATCAGAGAGTCCTTCTTTTCGAACTTCTGGCCCTGGGGAATCAGGGTCAGAGAACACAGGAGGATGTGAGTTATTTAGAAGAGGAGGCGAAGAGAGCGAGCACGTGGTGCGCATGTGGGGGCAAGGCGGGAGGGGCGCGGCCAAGTGAGGGGACGACCTCAAGATCTAGCTGCCTGCCCACTTTTACACTCTGATTCTTACTTCCTGCCTGTGGCAGAAAATAGCCCGGCCCCTCCGGCTTATCTCAGCAAAGAGCAGTGCCCAGCCCAGCTCAGAGGGCAAGGGGGCAGGTCCCAGAGGCGTTGAGAGGTAAGGACCTGACCCCGGTGTCCACACGGGAAGCTGAAGGACACAGACACAGGGAGCAGGATGGTTGGCGCGCAGGCTCTGCTGCGTGAGTGATGTTGGGGGCGGGTGACGTGGAAGGAGCAGTCCCAGGGTGTCCACATGTGGCGCTTTCTTTGCCCCTCAGGGCCTTGGGGTTAAGCTCTGTTTGTGCACTTCGATGTGCTTGTGAAGCTGCCTGATTCTACGTGCCTGCTGTGAAGGATATTGTGGCTAACGCAGCCCTGTGTCTTCTCTTCCTCCTCTGGCCCAGTGGTTTGTGCACATACTTATATTATTAATAATATATTACAGGGTGGGTATCCACACTGATTTGTATGTTACTGGGGCTCTCGTGGGCACATATCTCAGCGGGCACACACTTCTGTGTGTCTTTGCACACACTCGTGCGTGTGGTGGGATGGGATGCCAGTATGTGCTCATGTTACTGAGCCAATGTGGACCTCCATGTCCCTCCCTCCTGGTGTCCCTTCTTTTCTGGGGCAGCTGCTGTTTCTTTGATTCCTGCATTTCTCCCCACAACCTGACCTCTTCTTCAAGGCAAGATTAGGGGAGAGGGTCTGGGCTGCTCCTCCCCCACATCTAGATCCCTCCTTCCATTTCCTGTTTGCCTCCCTTTTTGGCAGCTTTTCCCGTCTTTGCCATCTGGCTTGGCACTGTGCCAGTGAGCTCCACTGACCGAGCCCCAGGGCTCAGGAGGCAGGGGAGTGAGTTGGGGCCAGGGCGGGGGCCTGGGAGCTCTCAGTGCCTAATGCGGGCCATGTTGTGTGACTCTTTCAGAAAGAGATGATTTGTGACAAATAGGCTACCCTATAGAGACCCAAGGACTTCTCCCCGCTGGATTAGAGTAATTAGAATACTGCCATTTCCTTTACTAAAGGATTCTTAACTTTACATTTAGGTAGCAGCTCAACTAACACATTTTGGTCTGTTTAACATTGTAACTTTGTTAACAGATAGACTTGGCATTCTTGGAAAATAATCCATTCACTCAGTGTCTAGTATGTGCTTCCTTATTGTAAGGAGCTACTGGTTCTCCAAGTAATGGTTAAGAATGATAACGTGTTACTGTAATTATAGTATAAACTGTTACTGATACTTTAACACAAGCCGTTTCCAAACAGGCCTTTTAAGGGACATGATCTTTTACTAAGCAAGTTATACATGTGGACAAGATAGTCAGGAGTGTAATAAGAAGTGGTCAGGAGCCAGGCGAGGTGACTCATGCCTATAATCCTAGCACTTTGGGAGGCTGAGGTGGGAGGATTACTTGAGGCCCGGAGTTCAAGACAAGCCTGGACAACATAGTGAGACCTCATCTCTAAAAAAATTTAAAAATTAGCCAGGTGTGGTGGGGCATACCTGTAGTCCCAGCTACTCGGGAAGCTGAGGCAGGAGGATCACTCAAGCCCAGGAGTTTGAGGTCATTGTGAGCTACAATCACGCCATTGCATTGCAGCCTGGAAACCAGAGTGAGACACCACCTCTAAAAAACAGAGAAGTGGTTGGGTGACTTGACTGGATTGGTACAAGAGGTATCACAGGATTCCAGAATAGGCTAACATGGTGGGGGGTGGAGGTGGATTTCCTGCCAGGCAGAGACAGAAGAGTGAGTGTAGGGTGTGGTCCCCACCCCAGGATCTTACCATCTAGTTGCAGAAGTGAAACAAATACACATAAAATAACTGAGAGGAGCAAGCTAAGTGCTTAAGTAGGTACTTAAGGAGAAATAGTAAGGAGGCATTTGTGTTAATGTGTGAAAGAAAGATGAGTTTCTGTTACGAGTGTTCAAAGTAAGAGAAAGAAGAAAGTGGGTCATTAAAAAGTATAAATTTCAATAGGACAAATGAGGAAGTGAAATAATTTATATACAGGCAGATTTCATATAGGCAACTGTAAGTGACCAGGTGCTCTATCCAGCATTCTTCCACATAGCCAACTGTCCTCTCTTCTTGGAAACAACATGGTACAGCCTGGACTTTGGAGCTGAGCAGTCTTAGATCTGAATCCTGACTTAACTCCTCTTTGCTGAACTCTTGAGTTTATGTTTCCTTTCCTGTAACAATGAGGATAAACACCTACTTCTAAGGACTGTTGGAAGCTTTAGGGATTATGTATGTAAAATATCCTGGGATATGGTGAGGGATCAGTAAGCGATAGCTATTATTTTTCACTCAACAATTATTGAGGTAGGTGTTGGGGATACAAAGATGAATAAGCCACAGTCCATAGCCCCTTCCTCAAGGAGTTCACAGTCCAATGGGCGTGGCAGACCAAGAATAGCTAACGACTTACAAACAGGAACAGCTCTGCTAAACCTGCCACTGCCTCACAGCACAGTGAGGGTGCTAATCTGCCTTGCAGGGGGAGGGGCAAGGAATGTTTCGCAGCACCCAGAGGAATGACTGGGTTTGCTAGTCATTCCTGGAGAATAGGAGGAAGAGCATTCCAAGTTGAAGAAATAGCATGGGCAAAGGCAGAGTCCTGAAAACATGCAAGGTATATGCAAAATGATTTTGGTGTGATTAGAGCAAAGGAGCATGGGGGGAAGGCATATCGGAGACATGCCTGGTTTCATTTGCTTTTCAGCATGTTTAAGTCCTGTTTGGCATGATTTTTGTTGTTAAGATTGGTATTTTGCAGAAGAAATACTCTGTATTCCCTTTAACTGCTTTACTGTACCTCTTGCAAGTCTCAAACCGCTGGTGGTGGTGGTGGTTAGAGGGAGAACAAACAAATATCCACAAGAAAACTTGTTATAATCAGGTTTACAACTTAGTTCCATTAAACAATTTAAACAGTGCCTTTTGAAAAAAATAAGCTCAGTATCTTGGGATAATTGCTCAGGGTCTTAAACACTTTCTCTCCCTAAGATGACATCTAGACACCTATGTCCACAGTGGCACTGTTCACAATAGCCAAAAAGTGGAACCAACCCAAGTTGTTCATTGACAGAGGAATGGATAAATGTGGTGTATACATACAATGGAATATGTTATTCTGCCATAACAAACAAATTCTGTTACATGCTACAACATTGATGGGCCTTGGAAACATTATGTACGCTAAGTGCAATAAACCAGACAGGAGGACAAGTATCATACACTTTCATTCATATAAGGCATCTAGAACAGGCAAATTCATAGAGACAGAAAGTAGAAATAGAAGTTACCAGCAGCTGGGGGGAGGGGTGGGCACGATTGCTTAATGGGCATAGAGTTGTTCAGGATAATGAAAAAGTTCTATTTCTGGAAAATAGTGGTGATGTATGCAACATTGTCAATGTAAATACCGACACTGAATTGTACACTTAAAATGATAAACTTTAAGTTATGTATATTTTATCTCACACACACAAAATAGGATCTGGGGTTGTGATGGAGGGGTAGCTTCTGTGGCCTTATGGGGTTGAGGAAGGTGGGATCCTCAAACCACATCCTGTCCTCTGGCTCCTCTTCCTCTTGGTCACATCCTTTGTCGGCCACCTTTTGCCTGTGAACTGAAGCTGCTGTGGTCTGCTCTCTGGCAGCCTCGTGAGCACCAAGAGCCAGGACCTCACTGCGTTGCTGAGGCTAGAGTGCAGTGGCTATTCAGAGGTGAGATCCCACTGCTGATCAGCACAGGAGTTTTGAACTGCTTCATTTCTGACCGGGGCTGGTTCACCCCTTCCTTAGGCAACGTGGGGGTCCCCCACTCCTGGGAAGCCGCCATATTGATGTCAAACTTAGTGTGAACACCCCAGTGGCATAGCACACTATGGCCTAGAACTCTTGGGCTCGAGTGATCCTCCTGCCTTTTTGTTTTGTTCACTACTGTGAACATGCCTGGAACCTTCTATGGGCTCAGTATGTATGGAAGGAAGGGAGGAATGGAGAGTGGGAGGGATCTTATAATAACAACAACCTAAGCATTTTACATACATCATCTCATTTAATCTCCAAACTACCTCATGAAGTAAGGCTACCATGAAACTCCTCTCATCCCCTCCCCCTGCCACCAGGTAAGGAAAATGAGGTTCAGAAAGATTAACTTTTCTGAGGTCACACAGCTAGGCAAGTTGGAAAACCCAGGATTTAAACAAACCTAAGCAGTCTGGGCTCCCGATACAGTCCTGCTGCAGGAAGCTATTCTGGCCCAGTAGAAGGTAGGGGAAAGAGGCTGAGAAAAGACTCACAGGACCAGCCATTTTAGTTGGATAAACATTTGTGTCTGCGGCCCTGTCGCTGCCTAGCTTTGACTTCTGGCTTGCCTCCCTATTCTAGGTCTCCACTGCTGATGAATCTGCGACCAAAGGCACTCAACCCTTGGCAGCCACCTGTCCCTGTAGCCATAGCCCACATTCCCATACCCTGCCTCTGCTTGTCTTGGGACTGTCTCTGTGTACTCACCAGGCCTCTACCCTGGAGGTGAACACAATGCCCTGACCCTGGTGTGCCCCATGATGTCATCGGCCTAGCAGCACCCCCTCCCACTTTGGCATGATGTTGGCTAACTCTTCGGCCAATACCTCTTCTACCAACAGCTCTGTTCTCCAGTGTCCTGACTACCGGCCCACCCACCGCCTGCACATGGTGGTCTACAGCCTGGTGCTGGCTGCCGGGCTCCCCCTCAATGCCCTGGCCCTCTGGGTCTTCCTGCGCGCGCTGCGCGTGCACTCGGTCGTAAGCGTGTACATGTGCAACCTGGCAGCCAGCGACCTGCTCTTCACCCTCTCGCTGCCCGTGCGCCTCTCCTACTACGCACTGCACCACTGGCCCCTCCCGGACCTCCTGTGCCAGACGGCGGGGGCCATCTTCCAGATGAACATGTACGGCAGCTGCATCTTCCTGATGCTCATTAACGTGGACCGCTACGCCGCCATCGTGCACCCGCTGCGGCTGCGCCATCTGCGGCAGCCCCGCGTGGCGCGGCTACTCTGCCTCGGCGTGTGGGCGCTCATCCTGGTGTTCGCTGTGCCCATCGCCTACGTGCACAGGCCCTCGCTCTGCAGCTACCAGGGCCTCGAGGTGCGCCTGTGCTTCGAGAGCTTCAGCGACGAGCTGTGGAAGGGCAGGCTGCTGCCGCTCGTGCTGCTGGCCGAGACGCTAGGCTTCCTGCTGCCCCTGGTGGCCGTCGTCTACTCGTCCGGCCGGGTCTTCCGGACGCTCGCGCGGCCGGACGCCACGCGGAGCCAGCGGCGGCGGAAGACGGTGCGCCTCCTGCTGGCCAGCCTCGTCATCTTCTTGGTGTGCTTCGTGCCCTACAACACCACGCTGGCGGTCTACGGGCTGCTGCGGGGCAAGCTGGTGGTGGCGAGCCACGCGGCCCGCGATCAGGTGCGCGGGGTGCTGATGGTGATGGTGCTGCTCGCCGGCGCCAACTGCGTGCTGGACCCGCTGGTGTACTACTTCAGCGCCGAGGGTTTCCGCAACACCCTGCGCGGGCTGGGTACCCCGCTCCAGGCCAGGACCTTGGTCACCAACGGGGCGCGGGGGTCGCACGCGCTGGCCCTGCGGCCCATTGACGCCACTGGGCCGGATGCCGCCAGTCAGGGGCTGCTCCGACCCTCCAACACTGGGACACCCTTCACTCAGTGCCCCCAAGATTCGGCCCTCTGAGCGCATGTCGTGCTATACATAGCGTCGTCCACCCCCTGCCCCCAGCACCTTTCACTCTTGCTGGCTTGCAGGAAGTGCACACAAGGGAGGTGGGCTGGGCACTTGGCCCTCTGGGTGGGAACTCCAGCTCATGAATGGGGCAGAGAACAAAGTGTGGAAGCCAGGGTACCCGGTAGGAAGAGTGCTGCCAGGAATGGCTTCTTTAAGGGGTGGCAGTGAGCACGCAGAGGCCCCCTCCTGCAGTCAGTAGGAAGTGATACAGTGAGTCTGCCTATGCAGAGGCAGAAGATAATGCAATGCTTCTGTGGGTGTGGGCATGAAACACTGATAAAAGCTGGTGGATGGAACAGAAATGAGTATCTTTGATTTAGACCTGCCACAGAGGTCTGGGAGCTGAACAGTCCCAGGCTTGGTGGACCAAGCTACTGAGAAGCTAATTCATCTGCTGACTTCTGTGTGTGCTGACCCATTAGGGTCATGGATGAAGCCACCTCATTCTTCCACCTAGGCTTCCCCTGCTCAGCACTGAGGCCTAATGCAATAGTTCGTTATGGACAGAATGGGATTTCTTCTTGTTTAATGACTTGCAGCAATTTAGACCTGACACCCAACATGGGCAAGGCAAAACTGTGAGTTAGAGTCTTGCTCCCCTTTCTAGGTCATCCCTTCTTACAGGACACTCCATTTTCAGGGCCTCTTCCATTCTAGGGCCTTAATATTCCTCCTCTAACTCTCTCTCTCATTCTCTGCTTGTTTTGTCCAGAGCAAGGAAAAAATCCTTTGCACTGAAACATTGGTTCTCAAAACGTTTTGGTCTCAGACCCCTTTATAGTCTCAGAAATTGAGGATCCCAAAGAGCATTTGCTTGTGCTTTATTCTTTTGATATGTACCATACTATTATAGAAATTAAACTTAATACATTTTTTGTCAAATTAAAGAAAATGTGAAAAAGTTAATACATTTTTAAAACAAAAATATTCTAGCACACATTCCATTAGCTATGAGAGCCATGTCATTATGCTTCATGAAACCTCTGGGAAAGTCAACGTATACTTGTGACAGAATGAGAGTGAAAAGGACAAATAACATCTTAGTAGTACTATTCTCCCTGGATCACACTTTGGGAACCATACTTGTATTAAAGTATTAGAGTTCATAACTAACTTCTTCCTAGGGCATTATAAACAGTTAAAAAATACTGGGGAGGGGGCAGTGCTCAACAAATGAGTTGCTACTGGTAGTCCTCATGGCTTGGGGTTTTTTTTTTTTTTTTTTTTTTTTGAGACAGTCTTGCTTTGTTGCCTAGGCTAGAGTGAGTGCTGTGGTGTCAGCCTAGCTCACAGCAACCTCAAACTCCTGGGCTCAAGCAATCCTTCTGCCTCAGCCTCCCAAGTAGCTGGGACTACAGGCATGCGCCACCATGCCCAGCTAATTTTTTCTATATATATTAGTTGGCCAATTAATTTCTTTCTGTTTATAGTAGAGACGGGGTCTTGCTCTTACTCAGGCTGATTTCGAACTCCTGACCTCGAGCAATCCGCCCGCCTCGGCCTCCCAAGAGCTAGGATTACAGGAGTGAGCCACCACGCCCGCCCGGCCTCTTGGGTTTTCTGAGGGTGGTTAGTAGTAGTACATCACATGGAACACAGCCCTGGGTTTACCTGAGCAACCTGGGGGTGGGCTGGGGGAGGGTAGTCACACAAACACTTGCAGGGGTGTGGGGGTGGGGATGGGGGTGGGGTTCTCTGGGAAAGAAAAAGGGAACTTCGCCACAGCCAGGACAGAGGAGTTACAAGGAAGTAAGAGTAAGAAGGGAAGACTGGGGTGGGCTGTCTGCTCTCAGCAAGCCGGTGCCAAGGGAAATGGGTCCATCTACTGTTCCCTTCCCCTCTTTTTTTCTTGGAGACAGAGTCTCGCTCTGTTGCCAGGCATGAGGAGGGCAGTGGTGTGATCATAACTCACAGCAACCTCAAACTCCTGGGCTCAGGTGATTCTCCTGCCTCAGTCTCTTGAGTAGCTGGGACTACACACGTGTGCCACCACACCCGGCTAATTTTTAAATGATTTTGTAGAGAGGGGGACTCCCTGTGTTGCTCAGGCTGATCTTGAACTCCTGGTCTGATCCTCCCACCTTGGCCTCCCAAAGTGTAAGGATTACAGGCATGAGCCACTGTCCTGGCTCCTTCCTTCCTTACCCAGGTAGGGAGGCTGGGAGGGGCTGCAGAGTTGGCACTATGACATCTTCAGACCCTGACATTAGTACATGAGTGAGGGAGTTGTTGCCATGGGTGCGTCCTGTAGCATTTCTGTCCCTATGTCTCTCAGTATTGTATGTTTTCTGTGTGTGTGTGTGTGGTGAGAGAGAGAGAGAGAATATGAGATTGTCAGTGTTTTCCCATGTGTTTTAGTTCCATGTGAGCCTTTTGTGTGTGCCTTTTGCGAAGGCTCCACATGGCGATTTACAGGGGTAAAATGACCCCTGGTGGCCAAGTCGGAGAACTGACCTAGATTCCTCAGGGATAGCCATGAGCTCCCGGCCTTTGTCCATGTGGGTGGAGGTTGGAGCCCTATCCCGGAGAGGCCTGGTGGTTAGCACCTGCTCCATTTTACTTCAGCCTCAGGGTTCAAGACCTGTGCCCTTCCTGTCCTGAGAGCACCAACAGCGCCAAGCCTCATAGTCCAAAATCTCAGCACTTTGTCCTATCCAAACTGGATCAAACACAATTTTAAAACATTACTTAGGTAATTTTATGTGCAGGTACATGAGTGAATCCCAAAGTAATTAAAATTCAACATGTTTCATTTTCTCGCATATCATGTAATTTAATTATTTATTTATTGTAATTTTTATAGTTTATTGCCTATCTCCCCTGGTAGAATGTAAGCTCCATGAGGGCAGGGATTTTTGTTTGGTAATCTGATGTATCCCCAGCATCTACAAGAGTGCCCAGCACGGAGGAAGTGCTCAATAAATATTTGTTGAGTGAATGAACAGTCAGATCTTGCTGCGAAGTAATTTACTATCTATCCAGGACTATAGAACTAGTACACAGTAACTCTAAGGTGAGACAAAACATGCAAGAATGTATGGTGTTGGCAGCTAATTTAGTAGGCAATGGGAAGCCCCTGAAGGTTTGTGAGTGACACTTTGCTCACACTGACATACCATGTAGGAGAAACTGTAGGGAAATTAGGTGGGGGGACTCAAGGGGAAAAAGGGTGGCCAGGGAGCCATGGCAATAGTTGAGGAAAAGTGTGACATGGCCTGTGGAAGGAGTAGATGGAAATGGGTGGTCTCCAGTGTGAAATCTCTGGTGTCAAAGGTTTGGGGCACTGTTTCCCCACACTCAGATATCCAAAGGACTTCTGTCACGAGAATAGAGGCAAGAATAATTTAAGGAGAAGATGCAGGCAGAGGAGGAATGAACAGAACCTGACAAGTCACAGGCTGGGAGGTTTAGGAAAACTTGCAGCCACTGCCATTTTCACAGGATTCCCCAATTACCACGCTGCACTATGAAGGAAGCAAGGTGTCCAGAGCCCTCACCACATGCCCTGGGGCTACCGCATTTACTGTCTAGGAAAGTCCGAAGGAGGAGGAGGAAAAAATCCTAGATGGAAGGAAAGAGCATTAGCAGGTTTTAAAAATGCTCTTCCGTGTGTTAGGATTTCAATTGAGTGCTTAAGATGCATTATCTTATTTAATTATTATAATAACACTCTGTTAGGGATGGTGATTATCCCCATTTTACAGATGAAACACCCTACGCAATCTGAGATCCTAAGGTCACACAACCAGGAAGTGGCTCCCAGATTCCTACTCTTTGCAGTACCTCCTGCTCTCTCTCTCCTCCCAGGCACTTCCTTTCCTGTTACCTACCACACCTGTTTTCCTTGCTGCTTCCCTCGGCATGTAGGCCACTTCTCTCATCTGCCTGTCTCACCTGGAATCTGCTGTGTCCTCTCCACCCCACTCTTCCCAGTTCTTCCCCCATGCTCCTCATCCATCGCCCCTTTCCTCTCCACTTGCCCCAGGCCTGTGTGCTGGACACAGTGCTACCTGAGGGGCCGAGAACAGGGCTCACCAGGTTTCCAATTGCAGAGTGCCCTAAAACACACCCCATCAAGGGCTTGTCAGTGGCACACATAGGCAGGATGGCCTAGACTTCATGCATTTGGCCGTGGCTCTCCTCCCCTAGCCTGGAATGTACCCATCTCCAAGGCAGCACTCTTGGTTGTCCACCAGCTAAACTGAGGAGGGCACCATCCCTCGGTTCCTGTTCCTTGAAGTCTGTCTCCTCTATAGGCTGGTCCCTCCATATGGTGAGAGCAGTTGGGGCAAAAGTAACAATCACTGATCTTAAAACAAATTTAAGAGAACCAGGGCAGAGGTCAGGGATTCCAAAGGAGGGCAGAGATGTTTCCTTCTTGGTCCTCAACCATCTTGAGGGAAACCCCCATGAGGTTGCCAGCTGGGGTCCCATGGAAGACGTGGGGAAGGGGAGGTTAATCTCACAGGAGGGCCTTCCTTCTCCATCCTTTCAGGAGGCCCTGGGCCCGAGGCTGGAGTGGTTCTCACTGTGCTCTCCTTGCCAGAGGAGCACTGAAAGCACTGGAAAGTGAAGTTTCTCACAGGGGGTTTGAAGAATCCCAAAGGTTCCCAGAACTTTGGACTCAAACAAACCTGGGCACTAACTTCAGCTTATTCACTTCTTGGCAATGTGACTTGAGCAATGTGACTTTCTTAATCTCTCAGAGCCTCTGTTTTCTCCTCTGTGAAATGGGGCTCATAATGTCTACTTACCAGGCTGTTGTGGGGTCAATGAGAACACTTTTGAAAGGCACTTTAGAGGCCCCTACACAGGAGCTTTCCAACAAGAGTATGGGGAGGAGATGCCACTGGTAAAGTCTGCTTGCGATGCCCAAGGGGTATGTTTCTGGAAGACCTTAGGGTTCCAGGTGAATCCTCACCCTGACAGAGCTCTGCCAGCAATCAGAACTAGGGCCAGGGGAGCTGGTGAGCAAGGCAGGCTGGGCACGTTTCCATGGTGCTAGGTCAAGCAGTCTTCTTGGGCAGTGACAGGCCTACTGCCCTCTGGGGGCACTCTCTCCCCACCAGGTCGATGTCCATCCCACAGACTAAGGAGTAGATGGAAAAGTGCATGAAGGGGGGAGACTGGATGAAGAACCAAGCAATGGAGAAAGGGCAAGGGAGGAGGCTGGAGGGGAAGTGAGGGCCCAGGCAGGCACAGGGTGGGGCTGGGAGAGGGGCCCAGGGCAGGAGGGCGGGAGAGAGCCTGGGAGGGAAAGCGCCAACCAGCGAGGGAGGAGGGACAGGGAGGGAGACCGGCGGCGCTGACACAGCCTCGATGTGTGGAACGGGCTGGGGTTTGGCCCACAGGTCAGGCGTCTGGCAGTATTATGGGATGGAGAGGCCTTAGGAGACAGGGAGAGTATTATGGGCTGGAACAGCCTTAGGAGACTGGGGAATATTATGGGCTGGTGAGGCCGGGCTCCAACTGGAGGCGGGAGGAAGGGGTGCGGGGCGGGAAGGGGGGGTGGTGGTGGAAGAGAGTATTATGGGCTGGAGGCCTCCTGCGACCAGAGGCAAGAGTATTATGGGCTGGCAAGGCCTTCGGTGGCCAGAGGGGGGAGCAGCGGGGGATGGCACCGGCTGCATGTGACTGAGGGGGGGCCAAGTTGGGGGGGTGGTGAGTGGGGGTAGGGGAGCTTATTATGGGATAGCTCTTTGTACCTACTGCGGGGACTGCTTCTCCAGAAGATATTATGGGATGTCGTGTGTGGGAGGGGGAGTGGGGCTGGGGGGATTATTATGGGATGGTGGTGCAGGATGGGGAGGGCCTGAGGAGTTCTTCAACACCCCCACCCCTCACCCCTTACTCTCTTGCCACTCTCTCGAAGGGCCCAAGGGGAACACCTGAAATCCATCTCCCTGCACACACACACACACACACACACACACACACACACACACACACTCTCTCTCTCTCTCTCTCTCTCTCTCTCTCTCTCTCTCTCTCTGTCTCTCTCTGTCTCTCTCTGTCTCTCTCTCTCACACACTCTCACTCTCTCACACTCTTTGGGCACCTCAACCCATCCTAGGTGTCTCCTCTAACTAGCAGCCACCTCCTGGGTGCTGAGGGGAAAAGGTAGCCCCTAGGGAAGGGGGAGAAAGCCCCAAAGCTGGGTCGTGGTGGCCAGTGGGTCACACCTCCCACCTGCACAAG